CGTCTTCCAGATGACGTTCTAGTTTGCAGCCTCCCCTTCCTCAGAGCTTTGATGCTGAGTCGGCTTATATGGGAAAAGCCCGGCAACTTGTCGGGCATTTACTTGAAAGGCCCCCAGCAGTATTATGAGTTCTTGGTGGATCAGGACGATCTCAGCAGCTTGCGGGATGCTTCTGCAGAGGAAATCAATGCTCGGTTCGCGCAGAAGAAAAAAAGACCTGCTGGCCGCAGCTTGACAAGAGATGCGGCTACAGGTCTGGAGCTTGACCCAGAGGCTGATGATGCCGAGTTAGAAGAGCTTGTGCAAGAGCTGCCTGAAAAGCTCATGCAAGCAGAAGAGCCGCAGCCAAGCATGGCCAGCGGTGGTAGACGTGTCGCTCCTCTAGAAATCGACTTGGGAGGCGGTAGGACACAGGTAGTGCATTTTGACAATTTCACACACTCCAGCGGTCAGCTCCGAGCATTCGTTGCTTGCGAGACACACAGCGGCTGCCGCTTGTACACGTTTGTACGGCATCATGGCAGCCGCAGGCGGGCTGCTGCCTTTTTGCTTGCTTGGCAAATGCGAGCAGCTCACCACCGCAGAGCTGAAGCTCACATTGCGGACAAGCCAAGTGAAGAGCAGGTGGATGCCATGATGCTCCGGATCGCTTGATGCAACACACGGCAGTCAGAGTGAACGTTTGAGGGTTTTTTTTTAGTTTGTTGCATTGTTTGGATGCAGGACACGTGTTGGCTGACTGTGCTGCTTCCGTTTGCTGCAAGAGTACCTCGGTCACTGTGTGCATGTGTGACTGCCCGTGCATGTGTGACTGCCCGCAGCCCCTTTCGGCTCCTTTGGGCTGTGCAGGGGCCAATGCATTGGCATTTCTCCCACTACGGAAGGCCGGCAGGGAGAAGTGTAGTCGAGTCTCGAAAGCTTTGCGGTGAGAAACCTGTAAAGTTACAAAGCTTTGAAACCCAGGCAGTCCTTAAGCCCCTAGAGTAAGAAGCTTGCTAACTCACAGAGCCAGATGCGGCCACCGTGTGCTCACCTGGGTTTCGGGCTGCGTTTTCGACGCTAACCCATTTCCCAGGCTGCACTTTGGATCGGCACGCTACCTGGTCTGTGGGCTGCACGAAGCTACCCTGGAGCTACAGGATGCACAGTAGTCAGTTTAGCGTCCCCGCTATAGGTGTAGCAGCAAGCCAGGTTGCAGGTGTCTGTTGGAACAGATTAGCCTCTCAAAAGCAAAGCAAAACCCCCAACACCTTAAAAAAAATTGCTCGCAGGTGGGTGCCGGTGGTCTACAACCAGTGGGGCGAGGCGCAGCTCCCACACCGGCCGCCTGCGCTGTTGCCGCCGCATCCGCCGGCGGCGGCGGCCACTTTTGCTGGCACGGGTGCAGCCCACGGTGCAGCCACAGGTGGCGGTGTTGCTGCTAACCCCTCTGCAGCAATGCCGGCGCCGAAAAAAAATCCTGGCCAGGTGGACCTAAGCAGCGAGGATGACGACGAGGAGTCTGAGGAGGAGGAGGCGGCTAAGAAGGACGAGGACAAGGAGCCGGACTCCCAGTCGCGGAAGGATGATATCGTGGTGGTGGACCACGACCAGGAGAAGAAGAAAGAAGAAAAGGGTGGCAAAAAGGAGGAGGCTGCTCAGAAGCGCAAGAAGAAGAAGGAGAGCAGCTCTTCCAGCGGAGGCAACAGTGAGTCCTCCAGCAAGAAAGAAAAGCCCCGTGCAGCCCCCGCTGCCAAGGAGGCCAAGCAGGCACACGAGGCCCAGGCCGACGAGAACGAGAGCGGCAAGGCCAAGGAGCCCAAGGAAGACAAGGAGGCGGAGGCGGCGGAGGGCGAGCGTGCAGCGCGGCCTGCGAGGAAGAACCGCAGCCGGCACTCAGCGGACGAGGCAGATGTCGTTCGCTGCGAGCACTGCTGGATGTGTGTGAAGAAAGAAGGCCTGCAAAGCCACCTGGAAAACAGCGAATACTGCCGCCAGTGGCGGCTCCACGCCGCCGGCCAAAATTTGGCCGGCCAAAAGCCTGCGGAAGAGCAGGCGAGCTCGGGTGCGTGCCAGTGCAGACACTGCTCACGGCAGTTCATGCGCAGGTGGGACATGCTGCAGCACTGCCTGGGCACGCACCCGAACTCTGACGAGGCTAAGGAATGCTTGCAGGCCATGCACAATAAGCGGAAGAAGCAGCCATCAAAGGAGGACCGGGCGGCTAGCATGAGCCAGCACAGGCCGCCGGTTCAGCTGCGGAGCAGGGGGCGTGTGGAGGAGCCGCCGCACAGACGTGGCCCGCGGCGTGAAGAGAGCCGAGATGATGATGGTGGCAGCCGTGGGCGCCGGAGAAGCCGTGGTGAGAGCCGCCAGAGCCGTGGCCAGGCAAGCTCTCGAGGCGGCGGCCAGGCAAGCTCTCGGGGGAGCCGCAAAGGCGGCGGCCAGGCAAGCTCTCGAGGGAGCCGCAAGAGCTCCCGCGGCAGCGAGCACATGGACCGACGCTTCTCGGGCCGCTCCCGCAGCCGCAGGGCGAGCGAGCCTGCGGCAAGCTCCGGCCGCCGTGGGCGCGATTCGCGGAAGGAGCCGACAGGGCAGCTAGGCCGCAGCAAATCATCGCCAAGGGATCGGGCCATGGTGGCGGGTCAGAGCCAGAGCCCTCAGATCCCCCAGATGATGCTGGCCTTTTTCGATGCCACCACAAAGATGCTGGACATGCAGCAGCAGTAGTCCTAACATCGAAGATTTTTGGGCGAGAGGAAGAATCCTGGGCCTGGTGTCCTAAGATCCGTGCGATCCTGGACCCAGAGCCCTAAGATTCGGCTCTCGCAGAGGAGGCTAGGCCGCGGTAGCTAGGCCGTAGAGCCAGGCCGTAGGGTAGGAGCCCGACTGGCCTTCACCCGCCCTTAGCTCACGAAAGCCTTCAGGCCCCAAGCAAAGCTACAGCTACTACAGCTTTTAAGCTTTTAGCCGGAAACCGGAAACCTGAACCCTTAGGCACCAAGCAAAATACAGCTACTACAGCTTTTAAGCTTTTAGCCGGAAACCTGAACCCTTAGGCACCAAGCACAACTGAAGCTGAAAAGGCCAAGTCGGAAGTAGCTCCAGTGTTCCACTCACCAAGCACTGCCGAGCACAGTCGTGCCAAAAAAGATTCGTTTCAGTTTTGTTTTTGCCGGGCATGTTGAACTCATAAAGGGTTTTAAGGCCACAAGAGGACAGAACACAGAAAACACAGTGAATTCTCAAGGGGGCGGCCCTGGGGGTCTTCGGGGGGGCTTTGGGGGCACTGGGAGGGCTCTGGAGGGCGTTTGCAGGGGATTTAGCACCTGTTTGGGGGTCTCGTGTTCGGGGTGTCCGGGGTCGTGTCGGGGTCGTGTCGTGTCCGGGATGTCCGGGGTCGTGTCCGGGATGTCCGGGGTTGTGTCCGGGATGTCCGGGGCGGGGCCCGGGAAAGGTGTCCGGGGCGGGGCCCGAGGGTGTCTGGGGCCGTTTTGGGTGTCCCGCACATGTCCCGCCCATGTCCCGCCATGTCCCGCCCATGTCCCGCCATGTCCCGCCCGTGTCCCGCCATGTCCCGCCCGTGTCCCGCCATGTCCCGCCCGTGTCCCGCCATGTCCCGCCCATGTCCCGCCCATGTCCCGCCCGTGTCCCGCCATGTCCCGCCCATGTCCCGCCCGTGTCCCGCCCATGTCCCGCCAATGTCCCGCCATGTCCCGCCCATGTCCCGCCATGTCCCGCCCATGTCCCGCCATGTCCCGCCCACGTCCCGCCATGTCCCACCCTTGTCCCGCCCGAGTTCCGCCCAGCCCCGGTCCCGCCCACGTCTCATGATGTCCTTTGCGTCCTCTAAACTCTTTGCACAGCAGCCGTTTTCTCTCGAGGCTTTGTTTGTGTTAGCAGCAAAGAAAAAAAGCGCCAGGGGTATGCCTGGCAAACGCAAACGAGGTGACTCTCCAGTGCATGAGACCGCTCATGAGACCGATGCGACCCCGCCGCAGGCGGGCAGCAGCACACAGGAGCGATCCGAGCGATCCCGATCCCCGCGAGGGGAAAGGGTTGCGACTATCATTTGGAAGTGGTGCTGGAAACGAATGGAGACAGATGATGGGACCATTTGGTGGTGGCAATGGTGGAAGGAAGGGTCAACGAATGGAGACAGATGATGGGACCACTTGGTGGTGGCAATGGTGGAAGGAAGGGTCCAGAATCTGAGTGCGGTTTTTTTTCGGGTCAGCCCGACAATAAGAGTTTGCGGTATGCTGTCGCCGACAATCAGAGTCTGCGGTGGAATGCTGTCGCCGACAATAAGAGTTTGCGGTGGAATGCTGTCGCCGAATTGCATGACTCAGAGATTGCATGATTGCCTGTCTCAAGGCCTTGCATGGAAATGGAAACAAGTGCATTGCAAGGGTAGACTGTGCCACCCAATTGCCTGACTGAGAGACTGCATTGCATGATTGCTTGTCTTTTTTCCGTGGGTGGAAATGTTTACATCAGTCCTGAGTTTGTCACTGAGAGTGAGCAAAGCCAGTTCCAAGAATAGCGTAGACAGCCGGAGCCATCATCCTGATTTCTTTTCTTTCTCAAGCCAAGCTTTTGTTTTTAGTGGGTTGCAGCATGATGGAGACTGGGGCAGCGAAGCTCCTGTATGCGATGAGTCCTTGGAGCTCAAAGCTGGGCGTGCACCTGTGGTTGCTGAGCCCTGTGTAGGCATCTCTGCTTATCGAGAGTGGATGCAGAAAGCAGGGCTTGTTTACAGGCCATGCGCAGCCTACGATTTCAACATGGACTTGGTGCCGTTTTGGCGAGCTCTGCGAAACCAGGGTTTGCAGGGGACTTCGGAAGTCAAACTGGGTTTGCAAGAAGGGGACATCGAGAGGAATGTCGTGCTGTCAAAACTGTCAAGTGCGGAAGGCTTGATAAGCGGGCCCCCTTGTCAGCCTTTTGCCTCCACAGGTTTAAGGCAGGGCGCCCAGGACGAAAAAGGCCGCACAGATGTTTTTGAATCAGTTGTAAGCATGATATGTGAGGAAGGCTCGCGTGGCTGTCTTCTGTTTTTCATTCTGGAAAACAGCTCACATTTGGCTGATGCCAACCATGCTGAGTTTCTGAATGAGATGCTCTTGAGACTTGAAGTGTCACTGCCATATTTTTTGGTAGACACCGTGAAAAAGGATGCTGCGGAGTTTCTGCCAGTCAAGAGAGGTCGTTTTTTCATCAGAGGGCTAAGGAGAGACTGCCTGCCAGACCCCATGCAGGCGTTCCTCCCTGCCCCCCTGTGCTGCACGGATCTGCTCCCGGCAGTCACAGTGGACGAGATTTTGGATCTGAGCTTGGCTGCGACCGATGTGCAGAGTTTGTGTGCAGGGCACGCTGCTAACCTCACATTGTACAAGCAGACCATATCTCAGTGCATCGAAGAGCATCGTGCCCAAGGCAAGCCGCTGCCCTCGAACACGGTTGTTGTGGAGCTCGACCGAAACCCCTTGAGAACTTTCGGCGGGAAGTGGGGTTGGGGCAAGATCCCATCACTGAGGACTACGGGGCCACCTTTGTTTCTTCTGAGTTGCGAGGACTTGTCGAGGCCATGGCAGGTCATGCGACTGCACAGGTGGCTCAGCATCGCTGAGCGGTGCAGCGCTCTGGGGCAGCGTGCAAGCCACGCGGCCTTGTTCTCGAGAGACACCCATGCCCTGCATGCGATCGGGAACGCTCTCTCGCCAGTGCAGCTGGCCGCTGTTGCCTCGCCGCTCGTGGAGGCAGCGGTCAACTCTGGCGTGCTCACTGCAGGCAACCGTTGCAAAGCCTGCGCAGTGGAGCTTCTGCCGCACACGAAGCCACCGGGTACATCAGCAGCTTGTATCCTTGAAGAGACCCCGAGGCCAAGGGCCACAAAAGGTTCCAAACCAAAGGCTGCAGTTGAAGAGGCAACACAAAAGACTCGAAAACCGAGGGCCAAAAGCAGTGCAAAGCCGAAGGCTTCAACTGAAGAGGCAAGCCCAAAGACCCGAACCCCGAAGGCCAAAACAGCTACAAAGCCAAAGGTTTCAACTGAAGAGGTAACCCCAAAGACTCGCAACCCCAAGGCCAACAGGGTTCGAAAGCCAAGGGCTCCAACTGAAGAGGATGCTCCAAAGACTCTGCCTCGTGACACCAGCGCAAAGCCAGAGGCTTCAGCTGAAGAGGAAGCCCCAAAGACTCTGCCTCGTGACACCAGCACAAAGCCAGAGGCTTCAGCTGAAGAGGAAGCCCCAAAGACTCTGCCTCGTGACACCAGCACAAAGCCGGAGGCTTCAGCTGAAGAGGAAGCCCCAAAGACTCTGCCTCGTGACACCAGCACAAAGCCGGAGGCTTCAGCTGAAGAGGAAGCCCCAAAGACTCTGCCTCGTGACACCAGCACAGCTGGTTTAGATGGCACCCAGGACTTACCACGTCACCAGCCAGAAGACGTTCTCCGCGGGCGGACAGAGTTGTCTTTGATTTATAGTCGCCCATAGAGGCGACGCGAAACGTAGGAATTTCAAATTTTACAACTTATTTAAAATCCGTGCGCTCTTGATTTCATGTCACACTTTTACTTTGACGTGGAATCAGTTGTTCGAGTGCAAAAGCCTTTGGCCTAAGTTCAGTGTGTCCGTAGGTCACGTGTCAGCACATGCACATAGCTGGGAAACACATTGCAATGACCGTTGACTGAACAATTTTTCGTCCCATGGACTTCGGCGACGCCCTCGCCGCTGGTTCTTCAGGCCGTTCCGAGGACAGCTCTACCAGCACCCGCGAGCTTCACAGTCAGCACATTTACGAACTCCAATTGGAGGTCAACGCCCTCCGTGCTGAAATCCAGACTCTCAGGTCCGCATTGCAGGCTTTGGAAGAGTCCCTTGCTCGTGCCTGGGTGAACCAGACCGGCCACCACCAACGTCTCTCGTGGCTCGAAGGGATTATTCAGAGCTTGAGGACTGCCTGTCGGGTGTTTCTTGAGCCTGGCGTGCAGTCTGCCTCAGATCTGCCATAATTTTGACCTTTGCTGACTTTTCAATTGGGATATGGCGGGTCAGCCTAACTCAGACGCTTTGCTTGGGCCATCCGAATTTCATGCGGCCTTGGTCGCTGCCGAGAGGCCGCTTGTTCTGGATGCTCAGTCTCTTCTCATCAAGGACTTGTCTTGGCACATAAAGGTGGGCGAGGCGTCTCGAAAGACTCCTCTTCTCCCTTGGGAGACGGGTCCCCTTTCTTGGATCTTTGGTAGGCCACTCAAGAGGCCGCGTCTGGAGCTACCTCGGGACCTGTCTCCCGATTCAGGATCTGCTGTTGATGCGGGGGTGCCTCTGGTGCATCCACAGCCGGTGCCCAACTTTGCAAGGGAGCGTCTTAGGATTGCAGCTCTCCTGGCTACAGACGACAGTTCTCGCTGGGAAGCTCTGAGGAAGTTCAGGACGCTGGTTTTGCTTGACCCGGCGCTGTCTCAGGTGGGGCAGTCACTTGCGGCTGAGGCTTTGATTCTGCGAGACGGCGATCAGATGAGGCGAACTTTCTTGGATGTCTTCCATGGCAAGAGTACAGCTACCTTAGTGAAGAGAGCCTCGTCGCTTTGGAGGTTTGCCAACTTTTGTTTTGACAATGGTCTGGGAAATCCGCTCGGGGCTGGCGAGAAGGTTCTGTACCGATACATGTCGCACCTCGAGGAACATGGCAAGCCGACATCCGCCTCGGCTTTCCTTCAGGCCTGGAACTTCGCTGTCCACACTTTGAAGCTCTGTAGCCCGGACGCTTTGGGGGCCTTGTCTGCTAGAGTGAAGGGTGCTGCGCAGCGCATGTACTCCTTGAAGAGGAAGCTTGTTCAGGCAGTACCTTTGACAGTGAAGCAGGTGAAAGGCCTGGAGTACGTGGTCCTGAAGTCCCCGTACCCCCATTGGCGAATCATTGCGGGTCACCTCTTGATGTGCATAGGGTCTAGCTGCCGATTCGCCGATTCCTTGCAGCTGACCAGCCTCAAGGTCAGCACTGCTCAGGGTGTTATCCTGGTTGAGGCAGAGAGCTCGAAGTGGAAGACGGCTTCGAGGAAGGACCAGCTCCTTCCTTTGGCCTCCTTGGGAAAGTTCTTCGCTGAGGAGTCGTGGGGAGAAGTTTGGGCTAAGGAGCGCGAGGCTGCTGGTCTTGGCCTCGGCCCGGCGCTCCCGGCTTTCTCCGAGGTGACTGGTGAGTGGCTTAACCGTCCTATGTCCACGGGGGAGGCCACTTGTTATCTTAGGGAGTTCATGACCGCGGCTTCCCAGATGACTGCTGGTTTAGGGTGTCATTCTCTGAAGTGCACTGTCTTGTCTTGGGCTGCAAAATCCACGGATGTCCCTCTCGCTGATCGACGTTTGCTGGGGCATCACATAGATCCGGGAGTGGTGTCGCCGCTTACTTATGCGAGGGACGAGCAGACCCGACTCATGAAGGTAGTTCATCTTGTGGTGGAAAAGATCAGGAAAGGAGCCTTCAAGCCGGATGCCTCGAAGGTCTGGCGCCTCGCGAAGCTGATTGAGTCTGGTGGCACGGAGCTGCTTATTGAACAGACTGTGCAAGGCGATCCCTCTATGGAGGAGTCCGATGACGAGGAAGGCGACTTCGGCGACGGGGACATGGCCGCTGGAGGAGCGTGCGCCTCGATGGAGCGATTGAGTGCAGCTGAGCTGGACATTGCTAAAGATAGTCGGATGCATGTCTACTCGAGGGTGGTGCACATCCTGAAAGGATCCAAGTTCCTGTGTGGGAGGAACCTCTCTCCAAACTATGAGGCCATCGATCCGGATGTTCCCCTCCGAGACTTGCCGGCATGCGCTCAGTGCTCGCAGAAGTACCAGCAGTGATTTTGGGATCGAGGGGTGAGTTCTGTGTCAGAGTCCGAAATTTTGTCGTGTGTTCCTGGGCCTGACCTGGCGGAGCCCCAATTGGGCGTTGACCGCTGGGCGTTGAGGGCGCAAGAGCAGGAGCAAACTCGCCAGACAATTCGAGCCTCACCTTTGCCAGACCTGGCAGAGTCCCCCTACTGGGGGCGTTGGCCGTTGGGCGTCGAGGGCGTAAAGGGTGGAGGCGAGTCGCTATGACTCCTCAGATGATTTGAGCCTCCCTTGTCCTGACCTAACGGAGACCCCACGTCGGGGCGTTGTCCGTTGGGCGTCGAGGGCGTAAGGTCGTGGGGCGCTCTTCACTTTGGGCATTCCGTGGCCTCACCACAGTAACAGTGTGACCTTGTCTCGCGCGAAAGGAATTTTGACTGCAGGCGCGAGTGGGGCAGGCAGTCCTACGGGCGTTGTGCCGAGCTCTTGGTGGTTCTGATTCTCTGAGCTGCATCCAAAGTTGCCTTGCTGACGACAGTCCTGACTTGTTGGCTAGAGCGAGGAAGAGCGCAGTTCAGGCCGTCCTTGAAGGACGGGACAGTAGCAGCCATGAATTCGACAATTGACAGCGAAGCCACGTTCGCTGCCCGGGCCACCGAGCTCGGCATGGAGCGCGCTCTCTTGGATTTGCTTGTGAACAACAACGTGAAGACGATGGGCGCGCTAGCCTTTGTGAGCCCCTATCAAATCGGTCAAGCAGACGAGAAACCTCTTCTTGAAGCCCTCAAAGCCCTGATAGGGCGCGACTTGACCGCGAAGGAGCTGATCCCAGTCAGGCGATTGTGGTTCGAAGCCTCGACCACAGTGATGGGGGAGTTGAAGCAGAAAGTAGAAAGAAATGACTCTGCTGAACCAGTTCGTCTAGCCATAGCGGAAAGAACAACACGTCTGGATGAGCAGAAAAAGCGCCTTGTGGGCGTGTGCATCAACAGTGAGTCTGAACCTTCTCACCGCCTTGTGGATGTTGTCTTCCAGCAGGGCGCGGATCAGCAGCTGACGTGGTTGCCTTGGGAGAAGTTGACAAGTCGGGCTCATGAGTTGACGCATTCTCGCTCCGACAATGCCATCCTGTTTGATGCTCAGGGCAACATGAGGCTGACTAAGAAGATGCAGGAGAGCCAGTGTACTCTGACAGGTGAGCTCCAAGCTCGACAAGCGCTTCAGAGGCGCGCGTTGGCGTATGACCTCGCCCGCTTGTGTGACTATGCTGTCATGGAAACCTACCATGAGGAGTTGTTCCAGCTCCTCACTCGGCCTCCACCTCCCAATGCCCTCTACGTCTCAATGGGCCAAATCCGAGAAGCTGATAAGCACTTATTCATCAGGATCGCAGAGCAAACCCGGGGCTCTCTCACTGCTCGCCCGGATGGTGCTAAGCCTATGCAACAGCAGCTCGAGCTTCTCAAGAACCATCCTCAGGTGCAGTTCTTCTTGATGCCACCGCAGAAGCCTCTCCGCTACTCTCCTTATGATGGCAAAGGGGAGGGCAAGAAGGGAGCTGGAGGCAAGGGAAAAGGGAAAGCATCGACCGGTGCTCCCGCAGGAGGGGCTGCGCAAGTGGACCTCCCATCTGGATGCAGTGCCAAACACAATGGCAAGCCAATATGCTTTGCGTACAACAGGGCGGGCTGTAAGTTTGCCAAGGATGGCAAGCGGTGCAGACGAGGTTTCCATATATGTTGGAAGTGTTTCAAGGAGCACAGCTATAGCGCTTGCCCGCTCGGCGGGGCCTGACTCGGTGGTGACACTTCTGAGGCTTCGGTGCATGACGCTGCTCCCCGTCTTCAGGCGACGGCCCTTCTCGACCTTTTCGAGTCGCTGCCTAATGAGGTTGCGCCTCGCCCTGGATCGACTTCTTCAACGAAGGTGTTTCAAGCTGGGGCCTACATTTTCGGTGTGCTGGCCGGTCTACGCCGGTCTTGCGCCTTGCATGCTGAGAGTATCAAACCCTTTTGCCGTTTTGTAGTGGAAAACACTCCTGAGGAGTTTGTTTTCAGTAACATTGCTGTCTTTGCGAACTTACGGACTGAGATGCACCTAGATCCTAATAATCTGGAGGGCACTTTGAACTTTGCCATTGCCCTGTCTTCCTTCGAAAGCGGACAGATTCGACTTGAAGGCGGGCCGCAGGGTTCTGAGGCCCTTTTGGATGTCAAGCCAGGCGTCTTCTTTGATGCCCGGACTCGACGCCACGGGACCTGTGACTGGACAGGTCAGCGGGTCGTTCTTGTGGCATTCAGCCTCAGGGGCTCCGATCGCCTTTCTGCAAGGGACGCCCAGACCCTAGCATCCCTAGGGTTTAGGCCCCCTTACCCGGGTGTAAATAATCTGCATTTGGCAAGCCAGCTTTCAACGTCAGATGCGCCGGCGCATGTCGCTGCAGCTTCGCCCGGCTTTCCTCCTGTGCCTCCGAATGCTCCTGCCTTTGTTGAGGTGTTCGCTGGCTGTGCTCGCTTGTCAGCTACGTTCGCCCGGGTTGGTTTCAAGGTCATGCCCTTTGATGGCCCTCGGAACCCGCATCAGCCTGAGCATCCTGTGTGCACGCTTGACCTGACATTGCCGATTTGCCAACAGATCTTCTTGAGCCGCCTCGAGAATTCCAGTGTCTTCTTGATTCACTTTGGGTTGCCTTGTGGCACAGGATCGCGTGCCCGCGAGGCGCCACTTCCCCAACATCTGCGAGCCCGTGGTGCTCCTCAGCCTCGCCCGCTACGAGACCATGTGCACGTCTTGGGCCTCCCTTCCTTGAGTCCTCAGGAGTCTGCTAGAGTGGAGGCCGCCAACCGACTGGCCGAGTTCGTGGTGCAAGTGCTTGTGCGAGCACATGATCAAGGCTGGCGCATTGTCATTGAGAACCCCATTCGTTCTTGGATGTGGAGTGTTCTAGCCCACTTTGTGCGCGCGCTTGACAAGCCTCGCTTTCGGTCATGGTACTCCGAGCTGTTCACTTTTGATTTTGATCAATGCTGCTGGGGCGGTCGCCGTCGCAAAACTTCCAGGTTCTTGACCAATGTGCCCGAGCTTCGCTCCTTGGTGGCTTCTTGTCAAAATGATCACCCTCACGAGCCGTACCGCATCTTCAGAGGTGCGGCCTCTTCTTGGAAATTCGACACGGCTTCCGAGGCCGAGTATCCTTTGCCTTTGTGCGAACAGTACGTTCGCCTCCTGTGCCCGCTGGTCAATGCCCAGCCGCCAAACCTGCCTAGGCCTTTGGTTCGTCAGGTTCATCGGAAGCCTCCTCTCGTGCCTGAGTACAAATCCTTCACAAATGTCCGCCCTGAAAGTGGTGAGTTTCGCGAGCTCGCGTCAGATCGGGGTGTTGGCGGGAGCGGCTCAACTCAGGGCTCCACGTTTGGAGTCTTTCACTCTAAGGGTGAGTTCCTTGAGAAGGCGCTGGAAGTTGAGCACCCCTTTGATTCCGCCTTTGCCATTGACGATCAGACCAAAAGGAACGTCTTCGAGTTGCTCACCATGGGTCTCCTGGGCCCTGCTCGCAGGCGGATGGACACTCAGAAAAAGCTTTCAGCGTTGAAGCGTGAGCTTGCCGTCGAGGAGAAGCGTTTTCACGCCTCCCTTCCGGAGCACGCCCAAAAGGTGCTCAAGGGGAAGAACATCTTGTTGTGGAAGAAGCTCCTTGAGGAGACCGGGTTCCCAGACATCACGGTCGCTGAGCTCATGGAGGGCGTCCCACTGGTCGGTAGGCCTAGTAAGTCTTCCTTGTATGGGTGGAAGGAGCAGCCGGCGACCACAACGTTGGATGATCTTCTTGTTTCCTCCGTGTGGAGGAACCCTGCGCTGGCGGCGAAGGGCAGAGTTGGGGACGACCCCGTCCTAGCCGAGAAAGTCTGGCAGGCTACACTTTCGGAGGTGGAGAGGGGCTTCATCTCGGGGCCCTACGATTCGGAAGAGGACGTTAAGAAGGCCCTTGGAGTTTCTCACATCTGCTGCAGCCGGCGCTTTGGGGTGAAGCAAGGTGCAGGCGATGCTTTGAAGTATCGCCCCATCGACGACTTCAAGGAGAGTGCCATAAATTCTGCCTACCACGCGGTGGATCGCTTGCAGCTGCATGACGTCGACTACTTTGTTTCCTTGATAAGGTTTCTGGCGAACTCCGTGGACGACTCGGGTGCAGTCAATGTCGAGCTGTCCGACGGGACAGTGCTGAGTGGGGCTGTGCACAGTGACTTTCGATCGGGGCGGCGCTGGCTTGGAAGGTGTCTCGATCTGGAAAAGGCGTATAAGCAGGTTCCCATATTGGCCGCTCACTTGCCCCTAGCCGTCATAATGGTATGGGACCCGAACACCAGCCGCAACAGATATTTTACCACTTGGAGCATGCCGTTCGGCGCATGCGCGGCCGTGTTTGGATTTAATCGCATATCCAGGTCGCTCTTACATCTGGCCTCGCACCTTTGCGCCGTCATAGGAGGCGTGTATTTTGATGATTATCCTATGATCGAGCCTGCTGAGTCTTCTAGGATGTGCAGCCTCTCGGTGGAAACCCTGCTTGACTCCTTGGGATGGTCTTATGCCGTCGGTGACGACAAGGGTCAGCCTTTTGAGGAAACCTTCAACCTCCTTGGCATGCGGCTGGGCGTTTCTAGAATCATGGATGACATCCTCGAGCTCGAGAACAAGCCCAGCCGGGTCCAGAAGCTCGTTGAGGCAGCCAGGAGAATGGCTGCGAGTGGGGTTGTGAGCAAGAGTGACTCTGCATCCCTTCATGGCCAACTGAACTTCATGGTGGGCTTCGCTTCCGGCCGTTCCTTGAAATTTGCTGCGCGAGCCTTGTCAAACCTTTATCACTTTCCACGGGATCAGCCTGACGAGGAGGTGAAGTCCTTGGGCCGCTACCTTGAGTCTGCGCTTTTGAGCTTGGAGCCCAAGGTCATCAGGCTGAGGTCAGGCGGGAGGCCGGTGTCAGTCTTCAGCGACGCCTCTTACGAAGATGGAGTGGCGGCATGGGGCATTGTCTTGGCAGACCCTGTCTCTGGTGAGAGGCTGGTAGCTGGCGGGATTGTAGATGATCACCTTGTGCAGTTTTGGCTTGATGAAGGAGTTGAACAAGTCATTTCACAGGCCGAGGCCTTTGCTTTGGTTCTGGCAAGGAGAGCTTTCAAGGACCACCTGCAGTGCCGCAGATGCGTGTTCTATGTCGACAATGATGCGGCGCGCTATGTATGCATTAAGGCGAGCAGTCCGAGCCGAACCCTCCTCTCCTTGGCCTGCTCCTTTTACGCCAGTGAGTCTCATGACGGAGTCATTTCATGGCTGGAGCGTGTTCCTTCTGCGAGCAATATCGCTGATCTCCCTAGCAGGGGAGAATGCGCTGAGGCAGCAAAGCTGATAGGAGGCAAGATTGTCGACTGCAGTCAGATTGCATCGGACCTGACTTCGGAAATTTTGTCCGTGGATGATCTTCCGTGGAGCCTTCTTGCTACGTCCTACAAGGACAAAGCACCTCCGATCTTCTTGTGACTGCATTCGGACGTCTGCTGGGGAATGACGGGTCCGTTGAAGGAAACAGGTTCGCCTGTGTTATCCTTGGATCGTCGGTGGTGCACATGTTTCTCCCCTTGATCTGATCGCAGTCCGAAGGTGCCAAAATAGCGAAGGTGTCCGAGTGATTGCAAGTGAAGCGTCAATATTTGAAGATTGCTTCTTTTTATAACATATGATTGATTGGGCTATGCCCGAATATATGATTGTTTTTAACCACGTTTCGTAAATCACTAAGACGACGTTCTCCGCGGGCGGACAGAGTTGTCTTTGATTTATAGTCGCCCATAGAGGCGACGCGAAACGTAGGAATTTCAAATTTTACAACTTATTTAAAATCCGTGCGCTCTTGATTTCATGTCACACTTTTACTTTGACGTGGAATCAGTTGTTCGAGTGCAAAAGCCTTTGGCCTAAGTTCAGTGTGTCCGTAGGTCACGTGTCAGCACATGCACATAGCTGGGAAACACATTGCAATGACCGTTGACTGAACAATTTTTCTCCCGCCCACCCGCCCGGGAATGACGGGTCCGTTGAAGGAAACAGGTTCGCCTGTGTTATCCTTGGATCGTCGGTGGTGCACATGTTTCTCCCCTTGATCTGATCGCAGTCCGAAGGTGCCAAAATAGCGAAGGTGTCCGAGTGATTGCAAGTGAAGCTTCAATATTTGAAGATTGTTTTTTTTATAACATATTGATTGATTGGGCTATGCCCGAATATATGATTGTTTTTAACCACGTTTCGTAAATCACTAAGACGGCAGCACCCAGGACTTACCACGTCACCAGCCAGAAGGCAGCACCCAGGACTTACCACGTCACCAGTCCGATGACTTGGAGCTAGAGCTTGAGCGACTGGTTGACGAGCTTTTTTCGGATGATGATCCGGGCATGGACGTTGATGATGCTGCGCCACAGAGTCCACTCGTCCTGAGTGAGAAAGCAACACACCTCTTCGAGTGTTTGGCTAAAGCCAAAGCTTCATCCAAAAACTGGCTCTCGCCAGCAAGCAAGAGCTCCAAGAACGAATCTGAGCCAGCACAAAGCTCCGGAAGCAAGGTTGGCGACAGACGGAGGCGTTCTACTAGCTCAGGGCGAGACATGCCAGAGAATGCTCAGCGCAAGCTGCGTTTCCCACCTCACTTGAACCTGCCAAAAGAAGCGATCCACCTCTCGGATTCCGACTAGCGCTTCTAAGCGGTGTCGGTTGCCATGGTGGCGGTCTGCCTGTTCGTAGATAGGACCTGCTAGGATGGTAGGTGGATGAGCAGATGTGTGTGTGTGTGTGTGTGTGTGCACACAGCAAGCTTGAGAATCGTGCAAAACAGTCTTCCGATAACCCTTCTGTGTTCGCTGAGTAAGCTTGCCGGGTAGTTCCCTGATGACAGCCATTGAACTCAGGGTTCTTGTTTTTGTGTCTTGCAGCGATTTGTTTGGCTCCACAAGCCCCTCAGCTCCCACACTCGTGCTCCCCTGCCCCGCAGCAAGCATGACAGATGCCCCGGACCAGGAGATGCCTCAGAGCATCATGTGCATCAGGTGTGAGGAAGAGACAAGCATCTTGACGAGCTACCCAACTGGAAGGAACTGCTTGAGGCGGATCTGCTCCTGCTGTTCGTCCACAGACCGGTGCCTCTCTCGGATGGCTAAAGCACCGAAGAAGGGCTCTGCCGAAGAAGCCAAAGAAAGCGAGGAGGCCAAGAAAGCTCGAAAAAGCGCTGAGGCCCTGAGGGGAAGCGTGGCCAAGATGGGTTCCTCGGAGCGTGCCCAGTGGTACCGCCAAGAGAAACGGAAGCGGGCAACCGAGTCAAAGAAAAGCCGCAGGACCTTCGCAACGGCAGTGGGGGCCTTGGAAGAGACTCGCCAGACTGGGAACGAAGATTGCAGCGGCTCACGATACATGACCCCCCGCGACTGGTGCGCACGGGAAATGATCCTGAAGCAGTACAGTACCTTGGAGGATGCTATGGTAGCCTACGAGCAGCGCTGCACAGATCCGGACGTTGTGACCAAGGAGATCAACGGGGAACTCTGCCTCCGGGTCAACAACGGAGGTCTGGAAAATGTCGTGGACCGCCATACCGTTGCAGCATCCGTGCGGCAGCGGACTGACCTTGGCGATGGCGAGCAGCTTGATGGTTTCGAAGAGGAAATCGCACCTCGCATGAAACGTGCTTCTGACAAGCTCCAAACAGAGCGGCTTCTGTCAGAGCAGCAGGGCAAGCAGGCCTACGTTCCGGCCGTCGCGGTGCGACGAGATTTGGAGCAAGAGAAGGAAGTTGCTGAGAACAGAGCTGCTGAATTTCAGCAGCAAGCCTTGGCACTCAAGGAGAAAGCTGATCAAAAGAGGAAAGAGTTGAAGGAGAAGCAAGCAACCCAGCTTCCCTCCTTGGCAGTGGCAAAGCTCAGCCTCACCAACGCTATCCACAAGGCAAATGCTTCGATGTCCGAGCTGTTGAAGCGTCAGAAGGCCACAGCAGACACCTTGTGCAAGGACTTGACGAATGCTTTGTGCATGTCAGACGTCCCCGTGAAGAGAGAAGCCGAGGAAAAGACGAAAGTGCTGAATGGCAAGATCAAGGACCTGGAGACTGCCATGGAGGAGTCCATCGCAGAATGGAACACCAAGGCTGGTGACGAAAGCCTTGACATCGAAGCCATGGTGTCAATGGAGAAGGATCTGGCAGCCTACATGAAGGAGTGGCACCTTGGCAAGCACTGCCAGGCAGTGTTGGACACGAAGCAGCAGATTAAAAACTTCCGCGAATTCACCTCAGACTGCAAGAAGGAGGTGAAGAAGCGGGACAAGCTGGCCGCGAAGGCGACAGTGAGGGGTTCGAACAAGAAGGCCAAGCTTGATCATCCGAACAGCCAGGCAGCTGCCGAGACCCCCGCCTTGGTGGTCAATCTGTTGAAGCACCTCAAGGAGAACCCGCTTCCCGATGAAATCATCAACTGCGCAACGGAGCCAGAGGATGAGATGACAGTGCCCCTTCTGCTCCCACCAACGCCGATGGAAGGCTTTACCCGGGATGTGACCCGGCACGAGTATTACAGCGAGCAAAAGAAGTGGGTGGAGCAGATGCTGCTGAGGAGCAGCCAGAAGTATTCGTGTGCGGTGGTCACCAGAGACAATGTGGCCAGGCCCTTCTTGCAGCAGCTGGACCAGATCCTGCCGGTGCCACTGCGTTCCGTGGCACGACCCTCGAGCAAGGAGCTGCAAGAGATCTGGCAGTTGTACTTTTACCAGATGGCCGGGGACTCCGGCCGCCTCTCGATGTCCACTGACTGGGGCTTGCCCGAATTGCGCATCTGCTGCGAAGGCAAGGAGATCTACTTGGGGTTCCCCGTGAAGAAGCTAGCCGGCAACACGACGGCCGAGATGCTGCAGCACCTGGAGCGGATGCGTGCAGAAGAGTTCCTCACGGCAGTTGAGCGGGATGGCTGGTGTGTGACATGCCGCCCTGGGAGGGGAGTCGTGCTGCCCACGAATTGTTTGTTCGTTCATCTGAGCCTGCAGGGACCTGAGACCTGCCACGGAGCCAGGATTCACATCGTGTCTGACAAAAGCCTCCAGACGGCTCTCACTCACCTGGAGAGGCAGGTCCAACAGGACCCGACACTGGAGTCCAAAAGAACCGGCCAGCTGCTGAAGTGGATCCGCGAGAGGTGAACTGTGCGGCATCCTTAGCGTCCAGGCTGCAGCTTCTGCTGCTAACCTGTGACCTTATGGATCATTCACCTTGGCTTCGTGGCTGCCACTGTTGGCTACCCACTTGCCTGCTCCCCGCAACCCCATCTCATCGGGGTGCGGTTTTTAACAGTTGTTTTCGGCAGGGGTGCTGCTTCGCAGCTATCCCTTCGGCAGGGGTGCTATCCTGTGGGCTGCTGCTTTTGCAGCTAACCCATCGGCAAGGGTGCTGCTTCGCAGCTATCCCTTTGGCAGGGGTGCTGCTTGGCAGCTACACTGTGGGCTGCTGCTTTTGCAGCTAACCCATTCTTGCCTTTTTCCGAATCCTGGGAAGATACAACTGACACCAAGACGTGCGGGAGAATAGTGGGATCAGCGTCTGAGAGCAGAGCCTTAGGACTAGGACAAGTACAGACCTCAGCAGTATCTGAAGCTGTAGGCTCTGGAGAAGCGGTTTGGGTACACACTCGTGCTTACTGTTGAGGTCGGGTTTCTCAGGGTGTTACTGTGCACAGTGTCACCGGGTTCCCTGTCAGCCAAGCTTCACTTTTGAAGCTTGCAAAGGGATGTATCGATTCACCTGTCAACAATCTGCTCTCAGACAACCCACAAACAAAAAAGTTGTGGGCCAAAGCCGTAGGGCCGTAGGGAGTCCTGGGTGTCCGGGGTTATGTCAGGAGTTTCGGGGGGGGGGACGGGGTTGTGTTCGGGATGTTCCGGAGGGGGTGTCCGGGATGTCCGGAGTGGTGTCCGGGGTGGTGTCCGGGATGTCCGGGGCATGTCCGGGGCATGTCCGGGGCATGTCCGGGATGTCCGGGGCATGTCCGGGGTTGTGTGTCCTGAGGTCTGTGTCCCGAGGTCCCACCCAAGGTTTATGCATTAATATCATCTAGGATGGGACAGGGGAGAGCATTTGCTGTACTGCTGCATTTCATGAACCGCAGAAGTTAAGCTCTGTCAGTTTCGGTGTTGAGCGGTGTGCCTTTCAGGATGTCCAGCCAACGTTTGTTCGATAGCCAAGTGATGCTGGACAACGACTCTGTGCTGTTCGACAGCCAGGTTGATCCAGGGACTTGGGCAGCGGGGCGCACGTTGGCTTCACCGGTTGTGCCTGCTGCTAGTTCTACTGCAGTGCACCAGACTGGCCTGAAGCGCAAGAATGCATGCCTGGAATGGGAAGGCGATTTTCCAGACACCCAGGTAGAGCTGTATCCGCCGCCTACTATCGTGAATATCAACGAGGACCCAAGCCCAAAACCGAAACCCCGCAATGAGGTGGCTGAGAAGTCCTCAGAAAAGTCCTTGCAAGAACAGCTAGAAGCCTCCCAGTCGAAGGTGAGTGAGCTGCAGGAACTGAACAGAACTCTGCACTGCAAAGCCGCGGAGTTAGCACAGCAGCTGGTGCAAGTGATGGAGGAAAAAAACAATCTTCTGGCTGAGAAGCATGCGAAGATGATCGCTGACTTGAGGGTGGTGCGTTCTGCCCGCGAAGAGCTTGACGAGCTTTTGGATCTTAATTTTGATGACGACGACGATCAATGCTGAGAAGCAGTTCCTGAGGCTTGGCCTTGAAGTTTCTGTTGCCGTCCTGGCTGCTGGGGAGCTTTTTCAGCCAATGCAGTTTTTGGCCACGGGCCGCAGACTTTTCATTCAGGGCAGCAGGCTCAGGGTGCTACCGCGAAGGCTTCGCGATGCGCCCAGTGCCAGCCGCCTTGAAGAAAGAGGCTCATGGGTAGTATGTATACGGCTAGAAAGGCAGGGGAATGCAGGGGACTACAGAAACCAGGTGCTCCGAGCGTGAGTGTCGGAACAGTGGAAAAAGAGGACCTGAGCTTGTGTAGTTTCTGAACGGTAATAGGGATGTGTTATGGGCCTTGTTAGGGAGGGTTTTGGACTGGCGAGGGCTTGTGCGTGCTACCAGAAAAGGACCGATTTTGTTTCAAGGGGACGTGTTTTTTTTGGTTGGGAAAACGCAGCTTTTGAGTGAACGGTTTAAACCCTATTAGAACGAATGCAATTTTTCTAAAACGGTTCATAACCTTTTTTTATTTCGACCCCGTTTGCAGCAAGGGTTAACGCCCCCCGGGCCTAGATGAATCACTTATATCGTCGATGTCAATGCTCGGAGACATGATAATCACTCTTTCAAAAACGGATTCACCGCTGGCCGTGCGGTACTGGTCCAGGATGGCTGAGATCAGAGCCACCGTCTTCCCCGATTTCGAGGGCCCGAGGAAGATGCCCGTGCACGGCACGCGGGGGACGATCGGGTCGCGAGGCTGTTTTGAGGTGTACTCGGCGGTCGGGAAGAGCTTCACCTTTCCCATTTACAGGCTCTCCGCGATCTCCTGGCAAAGTCGGGGCGGCAGGGAGTACAGCTGGTCCCGGGTCTGGCCGGGCCAGTGCCGGCTGCCCTGCCTCTGGGCGGTTTCGGGGTGCCGGTTGTCCCGGAAAGCTTCGCAGCGGCCGTGCTTGGAGCAGACCGCTTGGCTGGGAACCCAAGGCAGGTTGTTCCAGATTCGGGTGGTCTTCTGGTACCGAAAGCCGTACATGCAGTAGGACACGTCGTCGTAAGGCAGCGCCTGCATGTAGGGCCGACTTTTGAGCAGGCCCGTTTGCGGGTTCTCCACGGCCCACCACCGAGGTCGGAGGTACCCGATGATCTCGATGGTCTTCAGGACCAGCCGGTCGCCGTCCTCCAGCCGTCGGGGTGTCGGGTCAGGGCCCTGGAGAACTCCGTGCAGACGGGGGAGGCCCAGACAAAATCGAAGTGCTCGGGCGGGTAGGTCCTGTAGTCCCACTCCTGAATGTCGGCGCAGATGGTGGGCCGAGTCGTCGAGTCCGTGTCAAGACTCGTTACCTCCCACCCAAGGGCCTCGAAGGCACGGCCCACCGACTTGGTGCCGCTGAACAACTCCAACAGACGCATTTTCGTGTGGCGATGACAAAAGCCACAGGCCGACAAAGACGCCCGCCAGGGCGACAGCCGCGCAGATTCGTTCGGGCGACGGCATTTTTTATGTTACATGTATAAAGGAGCAGCATGGAGCCGCAAAAGCAAGCCACCTGCGAATCGGCAATTCAGCTCGGCGATCTGACGATCAATGCGAAGGGCGGCAAGTACGTCCCCCTGCGCCGGAACGGCGGTCCGCCGGTGTGGCAGTCGGCGGAGTGGCAGAAGATCATCTGGCACCCGGCCGCCTTCAACGACCCGAGTGCCAAGCGCGTGGGTCTGTGCCTGGAGCCCGACGAGGCCTCCAAGGCGCAGCTCCAGGAGATCGAGCAGCACCTCGTCAGGGCCTTGACGGCGCTGTCGCTTTCTGAGCCGAAGGTCTTCGGCAAGTTTCTGACCGAGACGGACGTGAAGGACCGCTTCCAATCGTGCCTCAAGACAAACCCGCGGGGCGGCTCGTACCTCAAGCTGAAGATGGACTGGGGGCGAGTCCGCATCTGGGGGCCCAACCAGGAGGAGCTGGCGGAGCCCGGCGACCTCGCCGGCAGGGAGTGCAGGGTGCGGCGCGAGCAGCGCCAGGTGTGGGTGATGTCCAACCAGTGCGGCCTACTGCTCGAGGTGACCGATCTGCAGCTCAAAGCCTACGAGGCCGCCGGTCCCGTTTGCCCCTTCTTCTAGAGCACGCTCAGGAGCTCGCTGCTGGTGGCCCGGCTGGTGCCGACGTAGAGGTGCCTGAGAGTGAAGTGCGGGCTCTCGGTGTCGCACAGGAAGACCCGCCCCTCGAGCGTCAGGCCCTGGCAGGAGGCGTATAGGTGATGGCGTGGCACAGCCGGGTGTGCTTCAGGAGGGCGGCGTGGGTGAAGGATTCGCCGCCATCCAACACGATTTTTTCGGGCCCCACTTCGGTCACGTGCACGTAGATGCCCTTGGTGACGCGGCCGCCGGCCCCGATGAGCTTCAGGCCGGGCCAGACCCGCATGGTCTGCGGCATGTTGGTGGTCGCCGGGCCAGTGCCGGTGAACTCGATCGTGACAGCTTCCGGCGGGGCCAGGCGGCGGTTGTCCCGGGCATTGATTCGGATGCGGCGGGCGTGGGAGATGACGAGGCTCACGTCCGGCTCGCCTTGCTGCGGGAACCGTTCCCGGGCCGCCTGGAGTGCCTCGGCCAGGGGCTGCTCCCGGGGCTCGTCGACGCGGAGCCAGGTCAGGAAGCCAAAAATGCCCGGGTCGCTCCTCATGTTCTCCGTGAGCTCGTGGTGCCAGCCGTCGGTGAGGTCGTGGAGCAGCTGGCAGTGCTTGAGCTCCCGCAGCACCGGGGTGCCCGCGAAGTTGTCCATGATGGCGGGGAACTGGCGGAAGTCGCCGAGCAGCAGGAACTTGATTTTCCGGTTCATGGAGACGCAGGCGATGTCGTTCCACAGCCCCGTGTCCAGCTGTGTGATCTCTTCCGCCACCAGCCAGTCGATGTTGCAGTAGCCGTTCCGGACGGTGCTCCGCACCCAGTGGTCGGCCGTCTCCGCCTGCATGCCGAAGTTCTGCACGGAGGAGTGGGTCTTCGTGATGATCTTGACCTTGTACCCTTCTTCCCGGAGGGCGGTCACGATCTGGCGCGCCAGGTAGGTTTTCCCGGTGCCCGGGTAGCCCGTCAGCAGCAGGCCTGTGCCCTCGAGGCAGTGGAGCATTCCAGTTCACCGTGCTGCTGCAAACAAACTTGGCCTCGATGTGGGGGATCCGGTACTGGCCCTCGAGGCCCTTGACCTCCTCGCACCGGTACACGGGCGTGCCGTCGGGGTGCTTTTCGCGGACCAGGCCGTCCACCAGGCCCTGGAACTTTTTGGGCAGGTCCTGGAAGACGACGCAGTCCGTTTTGACGGCCTTCAGGTACCTCGACGGCACGGTTGCGAGTGCATCCCGGATTCTGGAGACCGCGACGTGCTCCGAGGCCATCACGAAGTCGTGCACGGGCCGACAGCTCCGGTTGGACAGCAGCTGGGTCACGTAGATGTGGTCCCAGTGCATCCCGCCCGCGGCGTCCAGGAACAGCTCCCGCTGCTGGCAGCCGGAGCCGTCGAACTGGTGGTTGCTGGTGCGCATGGTGTAGATGAGGTCCATGTTGCGCACCGACAGCTTCGCGTAGTGCTCCTCTCCCTCCGGCCAGGCCGCCTCCATCTGCTGCAGGGCCTGGGTCACGGACTCCTGGTCCACGTGCGCCGTGGCGTCCAGGCTCCACACGAAGTTGCTCCAGGTCGCGATGCCCCTTTCGAGCATGTAGGCCACCGCGGGCTTGGCGTACCAGCCTCGGCCCACGTAGGGGAGCCGCGGGAAGGCCGCCCACCGCCCGTAGGTCAGGTCTGCCAGGTGCCCCTCGCGGGCTTGCTCCATGTTGTCCTTGGGGCAGAAGATGGGGGCCGGGAACCTGGCGTGGGCCAGGGCGTTCTTGCGGCACCGGACCACGTCTATTCCGTGGCAGATGTGGTCCGGCTTGTGGCTGTTGAGCTTGAAGACCAGCGGGGGGAGCCGGGGTGATTCCACGTAGGCCTCGTAAGCCCGCCGGCTGAAGCGGGACTCCAGCGTCGTGGGGTGCGAGAACTCCAGGGCCGTTTTGTTCCGGTGGCACTCCAGGCACAGGGCCTGGAGGTTCTGGGCCTGTGCGGAAAAGGACTGATGCACGGGGACGATGTGGTCCAGCTCGCACGTCGCCGCGGTGATGGGCGCCGCGCAGAGCTTGCGCAGGTGGTCCTGCTCCGCGAGCACGGCCTGCCGAGACCCGGGCGGATCGCGGCGGGCCTTGAGAAGGTGAAGGAAGACCTCGCTCGCCGCACCCGCCAGGCGCTGCCCGCGATAGGGCAGCCCCAGCCGGCCCATCCAGGCCTGCAGCACCTCCAGGTCCTCGTGGTAAGCGCAGATGGGCCTTGAGAAGGTGAAGGAAGACCTCGCTCGCCGCACCCGCCAGGCGCTGCCCGCGATAGGGCAGCCCCAGCCGGCCCATCCAGGCCTGCAGCACCTCCAGGTCCTCGTGGTAAGCGCAGCAGATGACGCAGCCAGGCGCTGCCCGCGATAGGGCAGCCCCAGCCGGCCCATCCAGGCCTGCAGCACCTCCAGGTCCTCGTGGTAACCGCAGATGACGCAGTCCTCGCCGCCCCGCACGCGGAGGCGCAGGCACCGCCACTCGCTCATGCTCCGCATGACCACCTTGGGGCAGTGCCCCTCGGCCAGGAGCTCCCTCCGAACCTGCTCCAGGTCCTCGGCGTAGAAGTGGCCGCTGCCGACCTTGCCCGGGGCTGAGCGCCAGAGGCAGAAAGATCGGATCTCTCGGGGTCTCGGGGCGTGATGCCTTGCTCCCGCCACTTGCTTCCGATAGCGGTGATTGCGTCGAAGTCCGAGAGCACCTCCATCAGCGGCAGCCGCATCAGCTCCGCGAGCTGCCGGGCGACGCAGAGCTTGTCCGGCTGTTGTTCGAAGGCGGACTCGAGGATCTCGTCGCCGCAAAACAGCTGGTAGGAGACGTCCCGCAAGGCCCCGAGGGGCTGATCCAGGACGGTGTCCACCACCACCTGGTCGAGCAGCTTCTTGGCGCCCCGCCGGAGCGTGAT